TGGGGGTGGGGTGGGGGGGGGGGGGGGGAGTTTTGAACTCTGTGGTGCCTTATGAGGAACTACATTGATGTTTCTTCTGCTAATTTTTTTACTGCTGCTATACATCCTGGACTGGACTTCCCAAGGCTTAAGGTTCTCTCCATACTGAATCTTGATAGATGATTCTGTCATTTTGGGGAAAGTACATGGTTATATGACTTCACAGGAAAAAATACCCTCTCACGTGAGCTAAATTAGTTTATCTGAGTGGGTCCTTTTTAGCCTATAGGATGAATGATTGTTTCTTTACCTTTTCATGTTGATTAGTAGTGGGAAATATTTTGAATTTGTATTTCTTTCTTGAATGAGTTAACATTCTTTAGTGTCTCAAAACCTTTACAGCTTATAGAGTAGTAAATTCAAATATTCCTTGTGGATTTCTGTAGGATTTTAATAGATTGTTTAACTCTTGTGGCTGAGATACGGGAGTGAGGCGTGAGCTGCGGATTTTTTTTTAATCAGATTCTTCAATACTCAAAATTCTTGTTGAAGAGAATAGTAAATAAAAGTGTGCGCTCTCTAACAACATAAGATTTCAGATGAGATGGTCACACACTTTGACATGGTATCGGAGCAAGGAAAGGTCGTGGGTTCTAGTTTCATTTCTACCCATTATCAAAAATAATTTACACGTGCTTGGCCTATGGAAAGAATCAGGCTCACTCACGAAGGGGCGTGTGGGAGAGAATAATTATATAAATGAAAGTGCATTCTCTATAACGATTTAAGCTTTTAAATGAGATGGTCATATACTTCAACACTTATTATCTCAAAGTTGGATATATTGTAATGTCAATATTCCCCCTTTTTTTTTTGCTCTAAGTGTTCAAGAATTTTGCTGTTCTTACATTATAATTTTTATGCATTATTCTGATTTACACAATTTTATCAGGAAAGTCAAAGTGAATATGCAGTCAGATGTGGCTCCCGAAGGTTCAATGCCCAATCACAGTGTCAACGGTCCTCAAAGAGAATCCAAACTGGAACTGTTTGGCTTTGATTCTCTTGTAAATATTCTAGGTCTCAAGAGGTAAGAGGTAAACATTCCGTCGTCCTTTACATTTTATTCTTTCTTGCCTACAAATCTTTTATCTTCTATTAGATATATATGATAAATACATCTTCAACCTGTTCCAGTTTGAGGTGTGGTTGATTGATTGATTTAGCTTTACTTCCATTCTTCTCTCTCTCTCTCTCTCTTTCTCTTTCTCTCTCTCTCTCTCTCTCACACACACACTCACTTTTCCCCAAGAACTGCCTAAAAACTGTAGCACCGTGAACAACATTGGAGAATAATGGAGTTTTTCTGTTGGTTGGGTCTTGGCTTGGAGATAATTTTGAATTTTGTAAAACTTGATACATGCCCCTATAAACTTATCATTTTGTGTTTTCAAGACTATCATTTTCAAATTCAACTTTCCTTTTCAGTATTTGATATTTGATTAATATTATGCTTCTAATTAATCTTGCTATTTCAGCATGACAGGTGATCAAATTCAAGCGCCACCTAGTCCGAGAGATGGTGGGGATGTGTCTATTGCTCTTGAGCGGCCCAGGGTACTGTGATAGGTTCTTAATCATTCGTTCTATTTTCCTGAAGTTTTATGTTATAACCATTGACACTACATTTTGGTTTAATGGGAAGGGAAGAGAATGGGGAGGAAAACATATAAATCTATTTTCCATAGCTAAATTATCTAACCTACCTACAGTGATTTGGTACTGCCGGAAGAGGAGTAAAAGAGTGCTCCTTTTTGTCCATTTCTTGAGAGACTGGAAAAATTGACATGGATGGGTAGCATACTCCATTTTTAGTCTCTCTACCCTTTTGCTTCCTAACCAAAAGAAGGAACTAGCCCTTCTCTTTTCTTCTATTCTTCTCCTATATCTGATCCTCTCTGAACTCCGACGAAACATGTAATATTCTTTCAAGGGAGAGTCTCCCATGTAATTCTCCTTTCTTTCATGGTCTTTGTTGTCATATCCTATGGCTTCCTCTCTCTTTTTGGGGAGGGTGATGGGGAGTGGTTAAAGAAATATATGGTCTGCATCTTTGAATAAATGCTGAACAGTGGGCAAGAAGGTGGCTAAAGGGTTGAGTGAAGTTATAAGAAGACAAAAGTGTAGAAAAACTTACTTTAAAGTATATGCATTGTATGTTAACATATTGTTGATTAATTATTAGTGATAAATCATCATTGCATGCTCAAGCTCACTTTGAAGTTTAAACAAAGCATCACCATCTTACACCATTCCAAATTGTCAATGCCTTTTTGTTAAGGTTCCTATTGGTCAACAATTTGTTATAAATACTAGGTAATTATCTTTGAAGGCTGTATCTGATCTAGTTTTAGATTTAGAGGAGGCTGCTGGATCACCATTTTCCCTCTCCTGCTCTTCTTTGCAAGAGTGAATGGAAGAAAAAGTAGATCCATGGAACTTGTTGCCATATTCATGTATTCCTTGACACTTTAATATGGTGCTTATCATACTACTTTAGTAGAATACCGTTCTTAATAATAAAGCTGAGATCTTCAGATTTTAAAGTTTTATTGTCTCAAAAATAAAATGTTAGCAGACAGAATACATATCAGAATATTCAAAAAAAGTTGAAGAATAAGAGATCCTCACTAAAAAATTTGTAAGATCTATTGGTGTCCGTCGACAGATTTTCTGTACTCACTATCTCAGTTTTACTCATAATTTGTGCAAGATAAGATGAATCTGAATTGTGTAGTTGTGTTATTAATTATCCATAATGTGGTAAAGTGAGAGTGTATGTATTCTTAAGTGGCTGCCTGAAATACATAATCAATAGTTAAGTTGGCTGTTGGTTTCTCCCCTCTCCCCTTCATTCCCCCTTTAGTTTACAACTTCATTTAATGAGGTTTGTTCTCAGTTTTATTTGTGATCAGCATGGAAGAGTGTGAGGGATATTGTTGTATTCTTCTCTAGTTACTTGTTTGGTTTCTCCTACTTTTATTGTAATTTGGTTTACAATCAATTTTCACAATTATAGACCTTCGTTGGGCTTAAATGAAGAAGTGAAGATTCATATTGACAACAACGTGTTTGTGACTGAGGTTTAGTTGTAGTTGTAGTTGTGCATTCATCAGAACTTGTACTTTTGAGATTTGATATTCATCGATCACAACTTGCAGCTTGCATGTATAGCTGAATCATGTAATTCTGTAGTGATGGGTTGCTCAATGAAGCTTTGAATGCCTTTCTGATTGTCTCTTTCTGTGAATGCTGTTGTAGCCTATTGCTGTCAAGTCTGGGACATTGATGGGTGTCTTCGTGCCATGCTTGCAAAATATTATGGGAATCATCTACTATATCAGATTTTCTTGGTATGTTTCATCGTATCCATTCCTTTATGTGTTCTCTTCGGATTCTTTTTGTGGACAAGATTTATAATGCTGTAGCTATCAAAAGGTGATCAAGTTGTGTTTCCTTAAATCTGCATTTTAAGGACTATGGTCAACATTCTGGATGTGGATAATTTCCTTTCATTTCCAACACTTCGGCATTTGTTATTCCCGCGTTCTATAAATTCCCGGATTGATTGTTATGTTGAGTGAGTAAATTGTAAAGCAGATTACACTATGTTCCCTCTGCTAGTTATGATTTAGTGGTCTACTCACGTCACAAGTATGGGTTGATATTGATATTTTAACCTGCTTCTGTGAGGTACTCAAAGTGAGCCGATCTTCCTTCTATCTCTGGTATTCTCCTGTTACAGAACTTGTTAGGCGGCTGTTAGAATAGGAATAGGATTGTACATTATATTTTTCTATGCAATGTAGTGTCTATAAATAGGCTCAATGTATTAGTGTAGTTTATATATCTTAATCTATGTTGCTCAGACTCGGGTGTGGGTGTCTGAAACGGGCGCGGATCTGAGAGTCAGATTCGGCAAAATCTAAATTTTAAGATTAGGGGGTATGAATCCTAGTATGGATAAGAGTGCAGGGATTCGGCTAAAAATTCAACATTATAAAAATAGAGTAATAAAGATATTTTAAATTTGAGAATATTTTGTAGAATTCAATCTTTTATTCTCTTGTTCGTAAAGTGATATGTAAGAGACAAATTTTGAGTCAAATGTGACATTAGTTATCCTAGTCTTATCTCCTAACCAATTATAAAGCTAAACATTTATGTGTAGATGATACATATTGAGATTTGTTGTCCCAGTCATTGATGGATTTTTACGCTACAAACTAGTCCAACAAGTGCAGAATACTGATTATACAAACAGTAGGCCCATGAAAGGTAAAATGTCAGTAGAAGTGGTTAGGCCCAAATGTTGAAATAATTTTAGTTGCAACATGCAGACCCATATAAATCTCTAAAAAGCCCTATTTTCATATATTCTATTTCATCTCACACGCCACCGCCTCTACGAAATTCACCAAAACCTCAACCCTAGCTCACCTACCCCCTCTTTGCCAAAATGCAGTTGGCATTCGATCTTGTTAGAATAGGAATCTTCACCTGGTTGTCTTAGTATTTCCCAAGCAGACTTGACTGTGAATTTACCAAAAGGATTAAGCATCCACCAGGGTTTGTCCCATTCTGTTGACCCTTCTTCAACCATAAGATTATGCTGGATGTGATTACTAACCTCCTCTGGAAATAGCATAGTTAGTGTTAGAATATGAATAGGTTTATACAATCCTATTAGAATAGGAATAGGAATAGGAATAGAAATAGAAATAGGAATACTAAATAGTATCCTTCTTAGTAAAGGATTGTATTGTAATGTATAAATAGGGTCTCAATTAATAATGTAAACAACAACAATTCAATAATATTATTTTCCAATATTTCTCACATGGTTATCAGAGCCTCTACGATCTTGGTAAACAATCAAAGAGCTTCCGCTGCCGGCGGGGCGGCTATTATCCATATATGCCGCCCGTTCGGCCAACTATTATGTTAGCAAAAGTTGGGTCACCATGTATCTTTCTGGTGACTATTTTCTCATATCTGATTTGTGTAGCACCGTGCCATCATTCCGGTGACTACTTTCTTATATCTAATATGTGTAGCACCGTGCCATCATTTCGATGACTACTTTTCATAATTAATTTGTGTAGCACCGTGCCATCATTCCGGTGACTACTTTTTCATGATTAATTTGTGTAGCATCGTGCCATCATTCCACTTTCTTATATCTAATTTGTGTAGCACCGTGCCATCATTCAGGTGACTACTTTCTTATATCTAATTTGTGTAGCACCGTGCCATCATTCTGGTGACTACTTTTTCATATCTGGTTTGTGTAGCACAACACCGTGCCATCATTCTAGGGCCTACTTTCTCATATTTAATTAGTGTAGCACCGTGCCATCCTTGACTATCTTTTTTGCATATCTGATTTGCGTAGCACCGTGCATCTCTCCGGACTACTTTTCATATTTAATTTGTGTAGTACCGTGGATTTTTCCGAACTATTTTCTCATATCTGAGTTGCATAGCATCATGTGTCTTTTCAGTGACTCCTCAGATTTGATTTGCATAGTTCCATTCGTCTTTCCGGTGACTCCTCAAATCTGATTTGCGTAGGGTTGTGCCATCATTCCAACCCTACCCGTTTTTTTTCAAAGGGTCGTGCCATCATTTCGACCCTACCCATATTATTTCTCTTTTTCAATGGGGTCGTTCCATCAATTCAAATTATCCTATATAATTTTTATTTTCTAGTTGGGTCATGACTTCATTCCAACCCTACCAATATAATATTATTTGTTAGATTGTGACCGCTTTTAGCCATCAAATCTAATACTCCGGCATATGAGCATGTTCCGGCTAGTTTTTTGGTGACTTTCTTGTTTAATATCGACTCGTCTATTGATTCCAACATGATCCATATACTTTCTACTAGATTTTGAGCACTTACAACGACCACTGCATTGTGAAGAAGTCTATATGGAGCAACCACCTAATTTTGTTGCTCAGGGGGAGTTTTAGTAGCCTTGTATGTTGATTACGTAAGTCTCTATGGTCTGAAACAGTCTTTGCAAGCTTGGTTTGGGAAGTTCCAACACTGTAATTTTATCACTCTGTGTTTTATCGACATTATGCATCAAATTCAGTATTTCATGAGAATCCCAAGCACATTGAGATTGATTGTCAATTTTGTGAAGTCGGTTGATCAACTTGCAGATATCTCACCAAGCCCCTCATCGGTCCTTGTGTTAATTACATTTGTAACAAGCTAGGTACAAGCTAGGAATAGGTACATGAATTGTATGCACTAGCTTGAGGGGAGTGTTAGAATAGGATTAGGTTTATACAATCCTATTAGAATAGGAATAGGAATATAAATAGAAGGCTTAAGTCATCTGCGGCCCCTTAAAGTTGTCTGCATAATTCATTTAGACACTTCAACTAGGACTAGTACCTATTGAACACTTTTATTGTTCAGAATAAGTACCTATTTGACACTTTTCGCCGACATGGCAAGGAAGGTGTAATACCAATCCATTCAACGCGTCAGAACGTATTTTTGGTTTTATTTTTTAAATCTCTCTTCTTCCTTAGCCATAACTTCTTCCAAAACCAGTACCATCTCCGCCGTTGCCGCCGATGTTTCCACCACCACCTTCCACCCTTTTCTTTTCTTCTGCCTCCTCTTCCTCTCCCTCCTCCTCACCTCTATCATATTCAACTGGGGAAACACCATTACGATTTCCTTCTCCATTTTCTTTAAATTTGCTGGATATTGTGATCTTATTTACTGGAAAAAATAGAGACTCATACAATGACTACTGTGTTTCTTCTTCCATTTTTTTTCTTATTGAAAAATACATCTAACAAATCAGATTTAAAATAAAAAATGAATCACCTCTCCTTCCTCCTTTCTCCGTGTATTGCTTAGATGATTATGTAGTCAATGATTTTATTGATATCTAAAATTATAAATGGTTCATATTTTGTAGGTTCATGTATTGATTAATTTTTATGTATATGTAATTTGCTATTTTCAACTTAAAAAAAATAGATCTGAAAAAAATTTAGTGGATTAAGAGGATTTGAAGGTGACGACGGCTATGGTGGAGGACGGGGCTATGGTGACGACGACTATGGTTGATAGTAAATCTGTCTCTACTTCATAGAAATTCTCAATGCATCATTGGACATTGCAACAAGTTGCTTGATCTGTAGCTGGATGGATGGCAACTTCAATTTTTTCGTCAAAATGCCACATGTACGTCATTGATTTGTCAATTTTCCACGTTATCGCGAGTGTATTACACACATTTCATACTTCAGCTGATTGTCAAAAAAGTGTTCAAAAGGTTCAAATCCAAATTAGTAGAGGTGTTCAATAGGTACAAGTCCTAGTTGAGGTGTCTTAAGTGAATTATGCGGACAACTTTAAGGGGCCATTGATGACTTAAGCCTAAATAGAAATAGGAATACTAAATAGTATCCTACTTAGTAAAAGATTGTATTGTAGTGTCTATAAATAGGGTCTCAATGTAATAATGTAAACAACAACAATTCAATAATATTATTTTCCAATATTTCTCACAGATCCATCTTAGATCGTCAATGTTTTCGTCCGAGTCGTCGGAGATGAAGTTGGAGCGGCAAGTCACTCGCTCCCAAAATCTATCCACTCAGCCTTTTCCTAAATTTGTTCTTGACTCTGGTCAAAGTATCCTTATGGGATTGACTAAATCTAACACACACCCTGCACCTGCACCCATACCCGCACCCACCCCAGTGTCGCGTCGAGACAAGTTCAACAACAAAATTGAAGAGTCCGCACAACGTAGATCTTAATAATATTTTTCTGTGCTTTCTCACATGGTATTAGATCATTGGTAAGAAACATCTGGAAAATACAGTCACACAATCTTGTGCGTATTTCGGACGACTATACAACTGACGTTTGCATCATCTCATCTTTCTCTTTGATATTTACGAAAACCAATAGTGCCATCACACTCGGGAATGTCTAGTGAGAAGCCCACTCAGCTCTTCCAGCATCTAGCGATTCATGTGCCAGTACACGCGGGTAACAACACAGTGGTGCGTCTGTCTCACACGCCGACATGTGAGCTTTTGATTCTGGCCACTTCCTTGAAAGGTTTTTTTTTCTGTCGGGGTGGCGCAGCAATTCCGAGCTCACCCATACAATTTTCATAGAATTCCAATCACTTTCATTTTTTCTAGCAAGTTTTCCAACAAGATCCAACCTTGTTTCAGCTTCTGGCCATCTGTTTCTTGGCTAAAACTTGGTGTTTTCCTCTTTGGTCAGATTCTCTTGAAGTTTCGAGCCATGTCCTCGGGATTTGATAATCTTAATTCCAAAAATATGGGAATCAAAAGTTCAAGTCATATGTGATTACTTCCAAACCATTCATGGGAATTCAAACTATTTAGCTTGGTCTTTCTCGATTGTGGTGCAAGGGGCAGGTGTTCAAGTTCACTTAAAGAAAAAGGCTGGTGAGTTAGATGGAAAAACCAAAACACAATGAAAGAAGGTTGACGCTTAAGTATGTAGTATCTTGTGGCGATCTATTGATTTCAAATTGATGTTCTTGTTATGTCCATTGCAAACATGTTCAATTTGGGAAAAGGCTTGTGCTTCATCTACTAATGACGGATCTCAATTTTATGATGTGATATTTTAGATGACAAACCTAAATAAAAATGAATTAGATGTTTACTTACTTAGGACATGTATATACAGTTATGGAGGAATTTGAGAGGTTGATATAGTCACTACGAAAGTTGAAAAACTATAGGAGCAAAGACATACATTGTTTTGGACCTCCTACCGACCTTGATTCGGTGCATGGTCATATTTTGGCTAGTCCTACAATTGATAATTATTCTCTCGTTTACTTCGCCTCGCGCCTCTTAATCACACTGTGGTCTCATCAACAACCGCCAACTCCACTATTCTCGCATCTCAAATCACAGAAAACAAGCATCTCAATCCACAGAGGATTGACGAGGAGGTTGTTTGGAAGATCTCGATGTAAGTGTAGTTATTATAATGGGCTAGGACATACTCGTTGCGCATGCATTCTCTGCATGGTTGACCAGCCAAGAATGCTCATATTGCTCAGATTAACACCACAGGTAATCAAGGGTTCTCTTTATTTGAAGGGGGGATATAAGGATTTCCTTTCGTATCGAGCAAGTAAGCATATATCTCAACAAGTAGGCTCAATTGCTTAGCCTGATACTTCTTTGGCTTCTATTGCAAGTAATTCTTTTACTTGTGTTTCACAATTAGTACCCTTGGACCGTGGGTCATGAACTTAGAAACTTCTGATCATATTTCTAGTAATAAATCACTATTGTCAAATATTGTTTATTTACAGCCTCTTAATGCTGTTACTTTTAGCCAATCAGGGCCAAACAAAAGCAAAAGGAGTTGGACAATCTAATCCCCTTTCGTCTATCACTCTAACCTTTATTCTTTATGTCCCTGGTGGTCCTTTTAATCTTGCATCAATCAGTTATTTTGACTCGTGCCTAATTGTGTTATAATATTTCTTGGCGATTCTTTTGTTATGAAGTATCGCAGTATGGGACATTCGATTGGCGCAAAACATGAATCACAAGGCCTCTACTATCTTACCTCTTCTAATTCCTCCAGAACATCTCCAATTACAGATCCTCCCGTTTTAATTCACAGTCGTTTGGGACATCCGAGTTTATGCAATTGACAAAAAATTGTACCTAGATTGTCTAGTTTGTCCACATTAGATTGTGAGTCGGGTCAACTTAAGAAACATACCCACACTACATTTCCATGTAGTGTTGCCATTTGTCTCGAGTCTATCTTTTCATTGGTTCATTTTGATATTTGGGGATCTAGTAGAATCAATTCAACCTTAGAATTTTGTTATTTTGTTAGTTTCATTGATGAATACTCCAGATGTACTTGGATTTTCTCAATGAAAGATTAGAGTTGTTTTCTATATTCAAGAGTTTCTATGTTGAAATACAAAATAGAGAATTTTTTAGTTGGGAGCCATTCTTTTGCAGCTGTTTATATTCGTACTTTTTGAAGTGATAATGCCTTAGAATACTTATCCTCCCAGTTTCAATAGTTTATGACACCAAGGAATTATTAGTCAAATATCGTGCCACACATCTCTCAACAGAATGGGGTAGCAAAGAAAAAAATAGGCACCTCATTGATACTGCTGGCACTCTTCTCATTCAATCCCATGTTTCAGTGTGTTTATGGGGAGATGCAGTTCTCACATCTTGCTATTTAATTAATCGGATGCCATTATTTTCCATTCAGAATTAGATTCCTTATTCAATATTGTTTTCGCAGTCATCTTTATACTCTCTTCCCCTCTTGTCTTTGGGAGCACATGTTTTGTTCATAATTAGCCTTTGCAAAAGATAAATTAGCCTCTCGTGCTCTCAAATATGTATTATTGGCTATTCTCAGGTTCAAAAAGGATATTGTTGCTACTCACCTAATCTTCCTTGGTTCCTCATGTCAATTGATGTCACATTTTGAGTCTTGACTTTACATTTTTTGATCATCCAAATATCTTTGAGGTATTACCTATACCAATTTATGAGGAATGTATGGTTACTTCAATATCTCCAGCCATAGTACTACCACTTCTGACTTATCGTTGTCTGTGTACAAAATCAGGCCCGAATGATTTATGCCCTGCGTCAGACCCTGCACCTACTGCGAACCCTCCACCTATCACAAACTTGTCTTCTCCTAGTCAATGAATTGCACTTCGGAAAGGTGTACAATCCACTCGAATACTAACCCCATTACCCTTTTAAGTTATCATCACCCCATTATGCCTTTGTATTATTTTCATCCCAAGTCTACAAATGAAACACTTTCTCATCCATGATAACAACTATGATTGATAAGATATCTGTTTTACATGTGAGTTGTACTTGAGAGCTAGTTCCTCTTTCTTCGGGTATATCTACTCTACTGTTGGTTGTTGTTGGGTTTATGCGGCCTTGTTGCAAAGGGGTATAGTCAGATATTTGAGCTTGATTGCACTGCTAATTTCTCTCCCATAGCTGAAATAACATCTGTATGTTTTTTTCTATCCGTGACTGATGTCCACCATTGACCTCTTTGGTAGTTAGACATTAAGAATGAGACATTGAGGATGAAGTTTTCATGGAGCATCTAGCTGGTTTTGTTGCTTAGAGGGAGTCTAGTAGTCTTGTATGTCGATTGTGCTGGTCACTATGTGGTCTGAAACATCCTCCTCGAGTATGGTTTGGAAAGTTAAAACACAACAATTCGAGAGTTTGGCATGACTCATAGTGAAGTCGATCACTGTATTTTATTTGCATTTTGCTCCAAATTTGTGTATTTATTTGGTGGCTTATGTTAACGATATTGTTATCACTGGCAATGACAAGGATGGTATCCCTAATTTAAAGCAACATCTCTTTCAACATTTCAAGACTCAAGACCTTAGTAAAATGAAGTATTTTCTAAGTATTGAGGTTGCTTAGTCCAGATCAGATATTATTATTTCACCATGAAAGTATGTCTTAGACATTCTTGAGGAGACGAGATTGATGGGATGTTGACCCATTGACACTTCTATGGATACGAATGTTAAACTCATGCTAGGAGTAGGACAGAGGAGTCCTAAAAGATATAGGCGTCTGATTGGTAAGTTTAATAATCTCACAGTGACTTGACCTGGGATTTGTTTTCTCGTGAATGCTGTAAGTAAGTTTGTGAATTCTCCCAATGATAGTCATTGAGATGTAGTTGTCTGCATTCGGTGATATATAAAGTCAGCTCCAGGTAAAGGACTACTCTTTGAGGAGCTAGACCCATGAGAAGATCATTGATTGATTGGGCAAGATCACCTTCTGATAGATGTTTACATCTGGATATTGTGTTTTAGGAAGTAATTTGGTATCATGGAAGAGTAAGAAACAAAAAGTGGTTATTCAATCTATGTCAGAAGCAAAATATCGAGCAATGATTGTAGCAATGTGTGAGCTAGTTTAAATCAAATAGTTGCTCAGAGAATTGAAATTTGGAGAAGTTAGTCAAATGGAACTTCAGTGTGATAATCAAGCTACCTTTCATATTGCATCAATCTGGTGTTTCATGAGAGGACTAAACATATTGAGATTGGCTGTCACTTTATCAGAGAAAAGATACCCTTGAGATATTGTTACAAAGTTTGTGAAGTCAAGTGATCAATCTGCAGATATTTTCACCTAACTGGTCCTCGTATTAGAGCCTGTTTGGATTGGCTGATTTTTAACTTATTGACTTTTGGCTTATTTTTAGCATTTTAGCTTAAACCTAAGTGCTTATAAGCACTTTTGTTAACTTACCCAACACTCCAAAAGTACTTAAAAGTTATTTTAGCTTAAATGGACTTGGTACATATGACTTATATGTGTCAGCTTGAGGAGAGTGTTATAATAGGTATGGGATTGTACATAGTATTCGTACATGAAAATGATTGTAGTGTAGTGTCTATAAATTGAGCTCACTGTAATAATGTAGTTTATGTATCTTAATAATATTTTTCTGTGCTTTCTCCCTACAGCGTAATCAGAGAAAGGAGGAAGAAGTAGAAAAGGACACTGTAGGAAAAAGGAGTAATAGGAAAGATGCAATTATGTGGGGTTGGGGGAGTTGAACAAGTATCTATTTGTGTGTTAGTCACGTCATATCCTTTTATATTTGACATGTTGTGATGCTTTTTTTTCTTCTATGCTGTAGGATTGTTGGTATGGCTGGGATTGGTGAGTCATTGTTACTCGTCGCTTTCTGTGGATCTTGTACTTTCCTGACCACAATATCATTAAGTGCTATTGCCACCAATGGTGCCATGAAGGTGAGAAAAAGTTGCTCATCAGTCATTGAATGAAGACAAAGGAGATAGCTTCTTGCTTTCCTATATCAGACATGCATTTTCTTTTTTCCCGAGTAGCTTAGATGGTCAATGATATCATTTGTTTTCTCAAAATTAGGGCGGAGGGCCTTACTATCTCATTGGTCGTGCTTTGGGTCCAGAAGTTGGTGTCAGCATTGGACTATGTTTTTTTCTTGGAAATGCAGTTGCTGGAGCAATGTGAGTATACAATCTGACCTTTTGTGTTAATTGCTACTCACTTGGTGAATGTAGCAAAGGAGGCTACATTGCTTTCATTATCTGACACTACTAGCAAATGAGGTTACATTACTTTCATCATTTGGCACTATCTATAAGTTTGAGTTAATGTTGCTATTACGTATCTGTCTTACAGGTATGTATTGGGAGCTGTGGAAACCTTCCTTGATGCTGTACCAGCTGCTGGAATTCTTAGAGGTATTTCTTGAGTGAGATTGTCACAATTGATTTATTGGCTAGAATTTAATGTTTTGAAAAGACTGCAGATCATAATTTTGCTATGAATGCTCCTTGGATCTTGTCTTTTTTATAGGAGTAATTCTTTTTTGTGTCTACTTGTATGGACATGTTTGATGGTAATCTGTTCTCTTCCTTGGTTATATGAATCATTATTTTCAATGAGTACATTTTTGCTGATGCTTTACTGGGTAATACATTATTTTGTCAAAATCATTTGTATTTCTGAATTTTACTTTGTCATTTATGCAGAAACTGTCACAAGAGTTAATGGTACAGATATTGCGGAGCCCATTACAAGGCCAAGTTTGCACGACCTGCAAATTTATGGGATTGTCGTGACTATTCTTCTCTGCTTCATAGTTTTTGGTGGTGTAAAAATTATTAATCGTGTCGCACCGGCATTCCTTGTACCTGTTGTATTCTCATTGGTGTGCATATTCTCTGGCATTCTTTTGGCAAGGAATGATCGTCCAGCAGGTTTATTGTTTATGCCTACTTTTTTTTTTCAAAATTGTTTTGAAAGCTTTGTGTGAAGTGTTCTGCTACTTAGAAGTTGATTGTACACGCTTAAAAGTTAAGATATATGAAGAAAAGCTTGTTTGACAGTGTAAGGTTAAATCTTGTTGCTCTTTCTTAGTAGAATGCTGTCGACCAATTCATTTTGTTCTGGCCTTGAGAATAGTGGAAACTTATTGCTATTGCTAAGCTAGTCTGTAATAATAAATCTCAATTGATATCTCAACCTCTGCAATTTCCAGCATTTGTATTGCTTCATAGTGGCCCTTAGTACCTTACTGCTTTGAGAAAAGGCCCAAAATGGGGGTCAAGATTCGGACTTCCACTCAAAATAGTCCCTATACTTTGAGGTGGAGCACTAATAATCCTCCATCTTTCAAAGAATGGAGCAGATGTAGTGCTAGGTAACTGATACCGTCTATAACTAACAGAATGCCTCATGTCCCTTTAAAGTTCACGTTCTCTGAAATAAAAGCTGATTGCTCTGCTCTTCTGAGTTGCTCTCTTTTTCTGCACTCTGTTGATTACTTCTTAAGGTTTAAACTTTTTGAAGCTCTTTCAGACAATGGTTTCATCAACTTTAAACAGTCACCCCTTTCTTTTCTCACCTAACACATTCCCATGTGACTGTTTCTTAACATGTGACTGTTAAAAGCATATTCTAGTCTTCAGAATTTATCTCGGATTCGGCAGTGATAGAAGCTCGTAATTGCAATTCGTAGCTCACTGCACACCATCATCATGTTGTGTACTCACCACCTTCTTCTTGTTTATATTATTAGTCATCTCAGTTGTGCAATTCCACTCTCTTCCTGTTTTTTCTTTCACTAGTACAAAAAAGGGAAATTAGGACAAGAAGAACATGTCAAATACACTGAATACTCTCTTCCAGTAAATTAAAAAGAAAAATACTTAAAGGACAAGAAGAACATGTCAAACACACTGAATATTTATGTCCATTTACAGCTTCCCAACTACTCATACAGGGAAGTAAAGGCAACAGCTGAATCCGTTGCTGATGCCATTGCTGATAACAGAGCTGGGTTGGTTCACCTTCCATGGACCGGAAGTATTCTGTTTGTTTTAGTTGGGAAAAAATATCCAGGACTAAATGTGTTCCAGTTTTGGAAAGATGAAGGACTATTAGTGCTCCAACTCAAAGAATAGGGACTATTTTTTTTTAGACAAGTAGCAATTTTATTCAGTAAAAACTTAATCACCCCAGAAAAAGTTGCTAAGTTGGAAACTTTACAAGCATCAAAAGTGTGAACCCTATGCAATTATACATTGCCAATTCTATACTAACTCTCGTACTTACCCCCTCATATTCCGTTTACACCAAAAAAGGAACAAGCTAAGACAATTCATCTTAATTTTCTGGATAGAACTGCTAGTGCCTTCAAGATGTCTACCATTCATCTCTTTCCACACTGTCCACCAAATGCAAGCAAGAATGATCTTCCATCAGTCCTCCTCCCCACCTCTATTCTCAATACCCCACCAATTGTTCAGCAGTGCCAAAGTAGAACTAGGTATTACCCAAGTTATTCCGGAAATACAAAAGAACATGTGCCACAGGTTTATAGTGGTCCTGCAGTATTGCCTGTTCACACAAAAGACATCTTGAACAAATCTGAAGACCTTTTCTTTGTAGCTTCTCTTGAGTTAGGCAAGCTTTCCTAATCACCAACCAAACAAAGAATGGCACCTTTATAGGTATATTTACTTTCCAGGCTTTTTTCCAAGGACAATTCTCCTTTACAGGACGTCTTTGATTCAACTGCCAATTCACTGACTTTACTAAGAAGGCCCCTATACTGTTTAGTTTCCATCTGAGTCTGTCTGTAGAATCCGTGCATCCACAAGCAGTGTGACGAAACTCTCTACTTCCCTGTCATTAAGAGCTCTTCTAAAGATTAGATTCCACCCTTGTTGACTCCACATTTGGTTGATCATGTCATATTGTTGGAGACTTGTAGAATAAAGAACGGGATACATAGACTTCAGATTGCTCTGCGCAATCCAATGATCAGCCCAAAAATCAGTTTTTCTTCCATCAACCACAATAATCTCCACATTTTCCAGTAGTCTTGCCTTTGGTTTCTGATAGTTCTCCACACACTGCTACCATAGGGACTATTAACTTCATTTGCGGTCCACTGGTTCAACATCACATATTTCTGGGATATGAAACTCCTCCAAAGTGCATTGCCTTCATTATTGAACCTCCAAAGCCATTTTTGTAGCATACTTCTATTATGCAGTCTCAGGTTCTTTATGCCCAAACTGCCATGTTTTTTGCTCAAGGTTATAGCTTCCCATTTTACTAGATTGCTGCTTTTCTTCTCTTTGTTGCCTTGCCAAAGAAAGTCTCTTCTCAATCTGTCAATTCTTTTTTTGACTTCTTTGGGTAATGGAAAGATAGACATTATGTAAGTTGGAAGAGCATCTGAAACTGAATTAATGAAAGTCAGTCTCCCACCTAGGGAAAGATACTAAATTTCCACCTTTACAATTTTTTGTCAGACCTTTCTATAACCTCATTCTATATTGCTGCAGAACAGTTTTTAGCCCCCAAGGGCATCCCCAAATAAATTGTAGGAAGAGCTCCCACCTAACAACCAAGGTTACTTGCCAGAGATAGCAAATTTCGAACATTGTTGACCGTTTAAAGAAAACTTTTTTTCGCAGTTAACATGTAAACCTGACAAAGCTTTAAAATAGTTAGGATGGATCTGAGATGTCTGATAGGTATCACATCAGCTTCACAAATACTAGAGAGTCAACGGCATACAAAAGATGATATATTTCCATTCCTTTAATGGCTTTTGGTTGAGATCCAAAGCCTATGATCCAACCATTCAACCGTGTGATCTTAATCATATGATTAAGTCCTTCCATGACTATCAAGAATAAAAAAGGTGATAAAGGATCACCTTGTCTAATCCCCCTTTGAGATTGGAAAAAACCTTCAGGCCCACCATTAATCAATACTGAGCATTTGACATTAGAAATGCAAAATCTGATCCAGTTTATCCAGAATAGGGACTATTTTGAGTGGAAGTCAAAATTTAGAGGACCATTTTGGCTATTTTCTCTTACTGATTCCTTTATGGACTTAGCTCCCTGCCTCCTGTGTTTAGGACGTTCTAAATTTACAGTTAGGTTGGACGTATACTACTCAATGATGATAGCCTAGATCTTCAATTGCTAATTTCTCTCTTTGCTTAATGGGATGAATGCCAGTGTCACATTTTTGAGATTTAGACAATTTAAAAGTTTTTTATCCCTTACATCATCATCAATTTAGAAGGAGGGAGCAGAGTTCTAGCTTTGTTCCTAGTATGCAAGCGGCTCATGAAAACTCTAGTGCTTTCATGAATGAATGTGGTAAACCCATCAATCTTTTCGTTACATATCGGGGACAGGGAGCCAGCCCAGCTAACTCGATTTCCCGAAGAAAAGAGGGGGCGCTCTTCCAATATTGAGCTCCTAGCCCTACCTCTATATAGAAATGGTAGGAACTGGGAGTGAGTGAACTACCTGAAACAATGTGAAGTCACCCCTATTTCGCTGTCCAGGGAGCTGTTGACTAATGACCTAAAAAATGCGTGACGTTTGGGAAGCATGAGCAACCCTTCGCGCACGAGATAGCAATGACAGGAGATTGACCGGTCGGGGTCGAGTGATCTCAGGGGTTTAGGGGTGCTTCTCCTGCTGCGACTACCCCCCTCTTCTATTTGAAAGGTAAAGGCCCACCAGAGAGAGGCTAGTGCTTTCATGAATGAATGCGGTAAACCCATCAATCTTTTCGTTACATATCGGGGACAGGGAACCAGCCCAGCTAACTCGATTTCCCGAAGAAAAGAGGGGGCGCTCTTCCAATATTGAGCTCCTAGCCCTACCTCTCTTTTTTCAAAAGTATATAGAAATGGTAGGCACTGGGAGTGAGTGAACTACCCGGGGAGAAAGGGGCAACCTCTCTATAGAAGGGAAGGGAAAGGGTTATCCGCCCATAATGATTGTAGAGTCTCTCAGGGTTGGAGGTCTAATAGCAATCACATCAAGTCCTCTCCCTCTTACTCAGAATAGCTATTCTGATCCATAGTTAAACCTGATTTTCTCCTGTTTGAATATATGACAGCAAGCTCATTACTTTCTGTTGCTATGCATGGTACAGTTGGAATCACGGGGTTGAGTTCGGAATCTTTTAAGGACAATTGGGGTCCTGCATATCAGAGGACTAGTAATGCTGGGATTCCAGATCCTAATGGAAAGATATACTGGAGTTTCAAGTAAGGCTTGCAAATCTTTTTTTCCTTCTCTCTTGTTCAATTTGCGTGGTAGTTTTGCCAGGAATAAATTGTCCATTTTTTCTGCCTTTTACTTCAGTGATGCGTAAGTTCTAAGTGTGAAACTGGGTCTAATATTTGATTCTTTTTCCATGTAAGTGCGTTGGTAGGTCTCTTTTTCCCTGCGGTGACTGGGATCATGGCAGGTTCGAACCGTTCAGCCTCGCTAAAGGATACTCAGCGTTCAATTCCTATTGGGACATTAGCAGCAACGTTGACGACTAGTGCCTTATATCTAGTTTCAGTGCTGTTCTTTGGATCCGTTGCAACTCGAGATAAGCTTTTGACTGACAGGTTTGTCTAAATTGCAATGCTCTTATGATGCTTCTTGTTACTGCCTTTTTCCTAAATAAATACAGTGGTTTGAATGGCATAGTTTCTAAAATGAGACTCAAGTATGTTGAGGTATATCAATTACTTCCCAAAATATGAGTAGGCGGTGAATACGATCATGTGTAGCTAAATATGATCAATGTAAGCGTATAAAACAAGAGACAATACCACAAGTTCAACTTAGTCATGAAGTAACATGATGCGTGTGACCTACTGTAATATAGTGCAGAAACTAAAATGGTGGGTACACTAGCAACCCGAAAAAATTCCAAGAGGGCACATCAATTTTGTCAAAGTAAGGTCCCAAGGACTTCGCAATGGCCATGAGGGCATCAAGTATAAGGAAGCATCTAAGTATAAGGCCACGAGCGCATCAAGTGTAAGGCCATGAAGGCATCACTAAGGCCAGGAGGGCATCACATAACTCACACCTCCTCCTGTTGTTTTGTATGATGCTCGCCTTTCTAGGAAAAATGAACACCATCTTAGGAGTCCATAATATCTCCCAAAAGGATATTTTCATTCAAAACATAAGGCTTTCAAGCTGTCAAAACATTTTTTTAACATGTCGAGTTCCATTTCAACATAGATATTTCAAACTTCAGCATAAACATGTCTTCTTATATCATAGTTTTGGGAGTTTAAATAACATCATGCAATCATAAATGAGTTCAAATAACATATTCACATAAACGATTTGTTCTTTAGTACTTCCATGACTAAGCGACACTATCATATCAACGTCATTTCTTGTCCCAAATGCTTATGGGTGTCTTGGGGTGTTGGCCTTAGGCCAATCAACCTCATTTTATTGCTATGAGGTGAGCCATGGCTTGAACCTCTTCCAAATCACCCAAAACCACAACGTATGGCCTACCCATAACCTGTGCAAGTCACAAACTCCAGCTCAAGCTATAGTGAAAAGATTACCTTAAGAGATCAAAATCTTAATTCTTGACCCTTGCGGAATTTCAGGTGGAGCATCTAGACAAAATCAATCAATTTGGGGATTCGAAAACATTAAGCAACCACATTAAACTCACCTGAATGGCTTAGAAGAAATTTGGGGTGAAATCCTCCACTTGGAGTTGTGTCCTAGACTAGGAGTTGGGAGAAAGAGGAAAATCCCAAATTTTGCAATTAGATTGTTCACCACACTGGGCACGTGTGATAGCATGTGCGCCGCTTACCCTGGAAATTAACTATATGTTGTAGCCCACGTAACATGCACACTTCAGGCCTGGCCAGCCTTCAACGTGCAATAGGTGCACAGTAGGGACCAAATCTGCTGCCTCTACTTGCCTTTGGTCAAAACACACGGTAAGCCCCACTGGCTGTCCGGTCTTTATTCAACTCGAAAATTCAATCATTGATATGCGATTGGGGGCTACAGTGTGCCCCCTGTATCTTCCTCAACTTTTAACCTCCAAAATAACTTCCCCTTGGCTAGAGTTCATACCTCAAATCCTATCCAACATATTCCCAACATTACAATCATCATTCAAACACCAAAGCTAAGCAGCCCAAACTTTGCCAGCACGTAATCATTAAAATGGTTCATTTAATTGATAAAAACAGTAAAATTCCAAATCTAACGGGGCATATCAGGTGCACTAAGAAGTGGGCTAGTCCCAGTCCTTTCACTAAAAAGATAATTAAGGGGATTTGCACTTGAGACCAGATTAGTGTGTATATATAGAATATCTAGAGATAACTGTGAGAGAGAGGATTATTTGAGCTTTCTTTTAGAAGAGCTGAAAATTGTGAAGAAGTCTTAGAAGTTCCCAAAGGAAAAAGCAGTAGCTACGATTGAGCTGAGAGTTTAGATGATCTTTCTTTTAAGCTTTGGAATTTTTTTGTCATTCAAGTGTTTACTAGTTACTAGTTCTGGAACACGTGCGTTGCACATGTATCTCATGTTAATTATTATCAATGGTTTAAAATGATATAAATAATATTGAAGTACGTATGTGATGAGAATGGTAGAAGGTAAATACAAGTGTGAATTGATGAATGATTAGTCAATTGGGCTGATATTTATTGTCATTGCAAAGCACCAACATTTAAAAAATTATTTTCAAATTATGAATGTGAGAATATCCTTTATTTCTAGAGGTAAAATCTGAATTTGGGGAGAAAAAATGTTTCTTTTTGTACCTTCTAATATCGTTGGATCAGGATAGTGGGTGGATGAATAAGCATAAACCACAATTTGAGTTTAACCCATGAATAGTTCAAAAAAGAGCCATTCAAAATATTACAAGGATAGCAAGTTAATAAAGACAATAAAACAAATAAAATTAACTTATGTGAAAAATACTGTTGGAAAAAGAATCATTAGTGTTCTCTTGAAAAACATACCAAAAATTGCAAACAAAATTAACTTAACTATAATTTGCAAATTGTGAATACATGAAATTCAATAGCACCTCATCATCTTCACATTTGATATTTTTTTAACCATGCTTGCAGCCTAGTGTGCTTAGAGAATATGATTGCTACAATTTGTTCACTAACTCTTGTTTGTGTGATACCAACAGTTGAAAATCATACTTGAGGTCCTTTAAGACGAAGAAGGGTAGAAAACTTATAATATTCATATTCATAGGTTAAAAATGAGAGGAAATCCCTCTATTTATAGCCAAGAAATGTTAGTATGAATAGGTGCTAATTGTGGTTTATCAGGAAAGTCACAACCGTTCGAAAAAGTCGCAACAGAAAAGTCACAACCTTTTGAAAAAGTCTTAAACCTTCAAAAACATCACAACCCTTCAATATGAAAAGGTGTCTACTTTTAATATAATATAGAAATATACTTAACTGAGTATTTTTAGTAGGGGTATTATAGTAATTTAACATTCAGGTTAGGGAGTTCATGCTTTTTAGGTAGTATAGATAGATAGATATAGATAGATAGATAGATAAACTGTAAATTGTGAGATGGTTGCTACAGTTAATCAACTAGAATTTTGCTTTATATCACCGTATTTTGCATCAATGGATTTACTTCTTCGCCTTTGCATAAATTGTAAGTGGATATTCAGTTCCGGTTCTCACTATTATTGGTTCAAATCAATGATGCTTTTTGCTTTTGAATTTAGTATTGATCACTTTCTTATGCTGTCATCTAGCTAGGGTTTAGAAGACATGGGTATGTCAGAGACAGTTTTCGGTTTCCTTGTATATTATGAACGGCTCTCTGTCATTTTAATTATAAGGCTGATACTCCTTGTAATCTCAATATATTTGGGATCTGAAAGTTTTAATGGCTTGTAATTGACCCATAAGTATGTAACTTTGTATGAAAGAGATTATATTATTGTAGTGAATGGTATTTCAAAATCTACTTATGGTGCATGGCTAATGCACTCATGCAGGTTGTTGACCGCTTCAATTGCTTGGCCATTTCCAGCAATTGTTTATGTCGGTATCATCCTTTCAACCTTAGGGGCAGCCCTTCAAAGCTTGACTGGTGCACCACGTCTCCTTGCTGCGATTGCAAACGATGATATTCTACCTGTTCTGAACTATTTTAAAGTGGTAGATGGAGGTGAGCCCCATGTGGCTACTTTCTTCACTGCCTTCATCTGTATTGGATGTGTCGTAATTGGAAATTTGGATCTTATTTCACCAACCATAACAATGTTTTACCTCCTATGCTATGCTGGTGTGAACTTATCCTGCTTCCTTCTGGATCTGTTGGATGCTCCCAGCTGGCGACCTCGGTGGAAATTCCACCACTGGAGTCTCTCTCTTGTTGGAGCTTTACTTTGTATAGGTATTTTCTTCTACTTTTGTTGTTGGAGAACTGGTATTCTTTCTCTGTTTTGGTTTATATCGCTGGAAATAAACTAATTGTCTATGCTCTAACATACATATTTGCTTCATATTGCTTTATCTTTCCCAAGAAAACCATCATCTTGGTGCTGCCTGTTATACATTAGTGAGTATCCAGGAGCTTGTAACTGCTAATATTTGACTTGGACCTTTACTTGTCCATATATTGCTTCTCCCATTATGTGTCGTTTATCATTTAGCCTATTTCTGACAGATTTGGTAACATTTTCCCAAGTAATGTTTCGTTAATTTGATTTTGTACTCAGCTACCAAACTAGGCTTTTGTTATCAATTCTAGTTTTAGAGGTTGAAAGGGCTGAATGTGTTCTTTTTGCTTTTTGCTGCGCTTTATAGAAACTATATTCGAAAAAAATATGAAGATAATTAGGAATGATTACAATTATTTGGCAGTTTATGATTAGCAAAATGTCGAACTTCTTACAGTTTTTCTATTAAGAAATTTGTTCAAGAGAAGAAAAAAAATTAACGTTTAAATATATAACCAGTCAGAAAGAAATTTACTTGTGGACACTGGTGGCCTTCATTCAAATTATGGACGGAGTATAGGTCTTGTAACCTTCAATGTGGTGAACAACTTCGTGATTTTTTATAATTGAGATGCACTTTGAGATTTTTTAAGTTTACTGAATAAATTGAAAACTAAGTTCTTTTAAGTGAAATGGGGTGAGAAAAAAGAAGTGGTAGCAATATATAGGACCTTCATGCCCTCAAAAGAACCATTTATACTTCAAAAAGCTCCCAGGCCCTTTTCCCGAGACTCATCTCTAAGGTCCCTTCCGGGCTTCTAGAGCTCCTATTCCGGTGATATTTGATCACCGGAATCGTCCTCTGGCCCTTTTTTTAGCAATTCTCTCTTTCTTTTCAGATATGGATGACGATGTCATCTATTTCACGGTAGGATTCATATAGTACAACATCATAAGGAAGGTCTCAAGAGCTGAAACTTGGTATGAATGGGTGGAAAGAGGACGCAATATGATGACAAGAGCGAGAGCTTCAGCCAGAAGACGATGGAGTGGATAGGCCATGTCCTCAGAAATCTGTGGCCAAAATTTATAAATGATTGTAAAATGAAGGTAGGAGATGGAGGGAAGACCTTCTTTTGGGAGGAATACTAGGTGGGACAGGGACCTGTTAAAGTCAGTTTTTCTCACCAGTTCAGCTTGAGCCTTTAGAAAGTGGCCACTGTCAAAGAGATTAGAGATAACCAGGGATGGAACTTCAGATTCAGTTAAATGATTGGGAGGGGAGCAGAATGGTTAGATTTCTAAACACCCTGGAGCAATGCAAGGGCCTCAACACCAAGTGAGGATAAACTAAATTGAATTCCAGACAAACAGGGGAGATTCTCAATGGGGTCAGTTTACAGAAACTCTCAGAGGTCACACACTCAACAGGTCATGGAAGATGATAAGAAAAGTTAAGGTGCCTTTCAAGGTGACCTGTTTTACCTGACTTTTCGCTAAACAGGCTGCTCTTTCTCAGGATAACCTTATAAAAAGAGGTTTTCAATTGTGTTCTGGATGTTCTTTTTGTGAATGTGAGGCAGAGACAATAAATCATCTCTTTCTACACTGTAGAGAGACTGAAACTGTGGAAAATTTTCATCAACCTAAGGGGCATCAGACTATGCCAAGGAATATATAAAGGAAGCTTTAGCTTGTTGAAATAGGGATTGAAATCAGTCAGGGTGCAAAGAGAGATGGAAGATTATCCCAGCTTGCATATGGTGGACTATTTGGTTGCAAAGGAACCAGAGATACTTTGAAAACAAGAGCTTGCGCTATGCAGAAAATAAAGATGAAATGTCTGGGCCTTGTCAATTTTTGGTGTAAGCATGAGTATCCTCAAGAAGAAGAGGATAGTCCTAGCATTTTAGATTACTTATGAGTTCATACGTGGATATTTACACTTCTGTGATTTTTTATTGCAAGTATTACTGAAATACTTCTTGAGTATTCCTTTGTTTATAATACAAGTGACCTTTTCTCAAATAAAAAAGAGGTAAAAATGTGGTGCAAAGCAAGTTGTATTGGTTTTTTGCAACCTTGGACACCAAGTTGAAGTTCTAATTTGTCCAAGAATAGGTGTGTGGACTTGCTTTCAAGTCCAAGAAGCCCATGTCTGAAGTTTCAATGGTTCAAGAAGCCCAAGTTTCCCAAATAAGGACTTACTATTTCTATTCTTGTTTCCTTCCATACTAAGTTCGTAGTTTCATTTATAGTTTCCTTTCAAAATAGGTATTCTACTTTCCTTGTACTTAGCTATTTCCTGACAAATTACCTTCCCCGGAAAAAGACATTAGAATAGGACTTCTAGTTATCAAATAAGAGATCCTAAGCTCTAAAGTGGTCGCACGCCCACATGTCAGTATAGTTACATGTTTCTGAGTAGCTGCTGAATGCAATTTGAGCTTTAATTGCTATCTTTCTTCTTTATCCTTGTCTTTATTCCAAGTATGGTCGTTGTAGTTTTTATCTTGTTTTCATTGTGTGTGGTGCGTCTTTATCACACTAATTGCTTACAAGTGGTTGCTTTAGAACTTCTAAACATTTGATCATTCAAGAACACCCAACCCTTAACTGTAATCTCATCCATCTGTGTCATCCAGAACCAAAACTTATTGTCGCTCTTTTGTAGTCATTTCTTGTTTCAAACAAGTGAGTAGTTATTCTAAATTATCATCAGTCATTTTGTTTTTAAATCAATTGATTCCAAGTTATACAGCCCAAATAACTTTGATTCTTGAAATCAAACAATTCAGCTCTTGTTGATGGGTTCTTTCTGAACTTGAGAATCATGTCAATGTGTCTATTCCGCTGATTGCTATGGTAAAATAAAGGACAGAAGAAAGTATATCTCTTTTAGGCTTGGCAAAAATGTAAATATTAACCTGGTTTATAATCCTTCTGATAGTTTGCTACTTTGCTTGGACATGGGTTTGGAGCCTTGGAGGATTCTGGGTTATCGTTCCTTCCCCTTTTCTACGAGTCGGTGAATCCAGTTTCGGAAATATTGTTACTACTAACCTGGTTATTATCCATCGAATGGTTTGCTTGGAAATGGGTTGGAGGATTTTGGGTCACTGTTCCTCCGCTTTCTATATTCTTCTACAACTCGATGTTTTTAGTTTGGAAGAATTCAAACTCTTGGACTCAGGGATCTGATTGATTCCCTTAAAGATCTCGTAATTTGCCTTTTCTGATTGTTGTTGCTTAGTCCAATGTAATTGGTTGTACCCTTCTTGGGTTTCTTGAAAGTGGTAACAGAGAATATTAATATCAGCACAGAGGCTGTGCTAGAGCCATATTTACAGTTCAGAAAGCTGCACAGGGTCTCCCTGTATTATCTTACTAGGAATCAATCATGTCCAGTTACGATTCTGCATCATCTACAAAGTTTTATTTACACCAGAAATGAAACAAAATTTCATCTTGATTTTCTGGTTAGAGCTATATCTGTCTTCCAAGACATCTTGCATTTCTCTCTCTCCAAATTATTCACCATATGCATGCAGGTAATTTTTTTTCCCACCATTTCTTTTGCCTCAGAGAGCCACCATTGTAATTCAGCACTTCAGCAGGTCCCAAGTAGCCTTAGGCATAGTGCACCTGAGTCCTACTATGTTTAGGAACAGCTGCAATAGCTGATCTGTTATTGGGTAATGTTAGAAGAGGTGGCTAATGCCTTTTGAGTCAGCACCACATAAAAAACATCTGGAACATAACTAGATCTCCTCATCCTGCTTGCTGAGACTTGTTCTTTTTTCTTTCTAGGACCCGTGTAGACAGTCACATTAAATAGTAGTTTTGGTTTATGTAATAGTGGGAAGAGTGAGAATCTTGGTTTATGGACGTATGCCATCCAGATGTAGAATGACCTCTTTCTTTGCTTGAATAGCGGTACATTGCTGATGAATCCAGACTCCAGTCATTATCATCTTACTCGTCCTAGCAAGGAGTGACTTCCCCACGCCCCAGTTTTTTTAATTTTTTTAAAGACACTGTATAGAATTCTATCTTCTTGTGCATTTCAGAGTAATGAGTGTTCTCTTTCTGCTGTTCCTTTTCAGTGATCATGTTTTTAATTTCATGGACATTCACTGTGGTATCACTAGCTCTAGCAAGTCTAATCTATTATTATGTGAGTATCAAGGGGAAAGCAGGAGACTGGGGTGATGGTTTCAAGAGTGCATATTTTCAGCTTGCTCTTCGTAGTTTACGATCTTTGGGAGGTATGTGTTTTTCTATTTATATATCTATTTATTCATTTAAATTTCTTGTCAAACAACATAAAACATCTTTTGTACTGTCCATTCCTTGTTGTCTTAAAACATCTGATTGCTCCTTGCATGTGTATTCTATAATTGCTTAAAGGTTGAGTGAAACAAACACAATTTAGGATTGCCATTGCAGGTCTTCACTTTTTTCAATTATGTTGTTTACCTAGGATTTGTCTGTGCAAAAATATATATCTGTATATTTTTTGGATCTTATGTTGCTTTTGATTCGGTTATTACAATTGAAGAAGGTGTTTCTCATTATAGTTAATTTGTTTGTTACCCCATTAACGTTGCTTAATGTTCAGCAACACTTTTTGGTGTGCCAGTGCCTAGCTTAGGCATTTTAATTCTGAAAATGTGCACCAGATGGTTGACTGCCATACTATTTCAGAAAGATTGGATCCTTATATTGCTTCAATTCTCACCGACGTTTGTTGCTCTTAACCACTTCTTTTTTTCCAAATCTGAATGGTGTTTGGATACTTCTTCTGCTTTGGTCTAACATTGTGGCAAGTGATTGGATGCAAGTCTAGGCAAGTGCATTTGAATCATGTCTTAAATCCTCCCATGTAGTTGAGATTATAATCTAGATTAGATTTGGGTCTTGATTCCCCGGTCTTGAACCATGCAAATTTTATACCTTTTAAAGGAAGATGAACACCGAGAACTTCTGCATTGCTCTTGGTATAAGCTGCATCCTCTTTGAACCATGTATGCCTATACCTTATAAAGGAAGATGAACACCGAGAACTTCTGCATTGTTCTTGGTATAAGTTGCATCCTGTGATCCTCTCCCTCAGGAACCTTACTGTATCAAAATTATCTCTTATTGTATTATAAATCTCTCAAACTTTTTAGAACTATCTTTGACCCTTTCAATTAGCACATATGCTCTTCAAAATCTCACCCATATGTTGCTTCTTGTACTCCTTAATCCTGATGCAATGGTGTTGGCTCCTCTTTTGAACTCCACAATATCCATCTTTCGCTTATCCTACAATAAGATAATCACCTGCAGTCCTTTCGGGGACATCCGATAAAATTAGAACAATACGGAGAAGATTAGCATGGCCCTTGCACAAGAATAATGCAGAAGCAAAATAAAAAGATTAAAACAGGAAATTAAAGATAGGAGAAATTTGAGAAATCAATCCCCAAATCTCAAAAAGTAATTACTAAGAAGCCTAATTGGTTATGGTCGACCTGATTAGTGGATTAGGGCTAATCATGTTTACTAGCATATTCAATTCAAGTACTTAGATGAAAGTGATCTAGACCCCTAATTGAGTAATTAAAGACAATAATTAGTATAAGACTAATTACTTTTTTCAATTAGTTGAGTAAGAACCATAGATATCAAGCAAAGAATTAACTTACCTCTTAGAAGAATTGTTTTGTAAGATAAATTATAAGTTACCAATACACAAAGGTGTAAATTAAAGAAATCTCAATAAAATTGATACTCCCTTCGTTTCAAAAAGAATGGTCTAGTTTGACTTGACACGGAGTTTAAGAAAATAAAGAAGAGTTTCAATCTTGTGGTCCTAAATTAAAGTTATGTCAAATGTACCAAATGCTCTTTAATCTTGTGGCCTTAAACATGTCACATGAAAAACTGAGATTAAAGTGTTGTCAACAAAAAGAAAGAAATGGGCCATTTATTTTGAAACAAGACTAAAAAGAAAAGGTCATTCTTTTTTTAACGGAGGGAGATAATAATGTGTCCAAAAGTTAAAATAAGTATTTTGGACGGCAAAGGGCGACAAGGGTCTGCCTCACCTGAGACCTTGACGACAGTCTTCTCAGGGCTTCTATAGCTTTATTTTTGTCCATGGGGCTATCAATATGTATGCTAGTATCAATATTTACAATTGTAAAAGGCTTGTATTACAAGGCTTCAAAAAACTCAAAAATTGTTTCTGCACCCTCTACATAATTTTCTTTACACCAGAATATGAAAGAGAAAAAACACTTCATTTTGATTCTGTACGTAGTGTCTTCAAAATATTTGACACTTCTTTCTGTACAATCTGCCAATGCAAGCTAGGACAACATTCCACCACTTTTTCTATCTGATATTCTTGCTGCATTGTTCCAACACAACAAAATGTCCTTTGTATCTTTAGACACTACCCATTTGACCCTAACAAAGACAACAACAATTGCTAAAAGGATATCAGTAACCTTATAATACAGGATTAAATAACGGTTGTTTCTTGGCCTCCTTCCAACCTAAGCTGCTCATACTCAGGTGTGGGTGTCCAATACGGGTAAGGATCTAGAGGTCAGATCCTCTATGATCTAAATTTTAAGATTTGGGGATATGGATCTATGTATGGATACAAGTGCAGGGATTTGACTAAAGAAAATTCAGATATCTAAAGATTAGTTTTTGGATGGCGAGAGGCGATAAAAGGCGACAAGGGTCTGCCTCACCTTGTGGCGAGGCGAGTGTCGAGGCGCTCGCCTTTTTGAAGTGCGGCACCAATTAATACCAAAACTTAAAATATTTAATTGCATATGTAAATAAGTAAAATCTCAATAGCAATAGCATATTAGCAAATATTTCAATTCAAAAACTGAAAATAGATAGTACATACTAAAAGTCTAGAACTTGAATGAGAAAAAAACATAACAAAAGTCAAAACAAAGGTAGAAGTGACTATGGAGTCCGAAGAAGAAGGAAAAAGAAGCAGAGGAAGAAGAAAGAAATCTGATAAAGAAAAGAATAAATATGCATTGGTTGGACTTTGAAGTCGACGAAAAAGTCTGGCTGGTCATCGGAGGAGTCTAGTCGAAAACACTAAAATTATCCTTTATCTTTTAAAACCCTAAATCGGTAGCCTTTTTTAAGAAAATACAAAAGGCGACGCCTTTCTCGCCTCTCACCTTTTGTTGCCTTTTGAAGATCGCCTCGCCTCGCCTTGCCTCGTTTTTGCCATTGGCAACAAGGTGATCACCTTTCACAACACTGCTAAAGATAGAGTTATAAAACCTAAATTACGAGATATTATGTGAAGAACTTGAGGAAAATCCTGGAAGGAGATAGAAGGAAAGGGAGCGGCGATAGAAATTTATATATACAAGCTATTTCATTTTCTTCAATTCCACATTGATTTTTGTTTTGATTACACAAATCAATGGATTTTTCCAGAATTTCTCCTTGAATATGGTCAAAGTACCCAAAACTGCTTGACCAGACTGGGTACGGATCCCACACGACTCGACACGGGTGTGGTATCGAAAGTGAAGAGTCCGAGCAACTCCTAAGATTAACAACATCTTGATGACATTGAAAAACATCTGGATGTCAATCGAAACCTTGATGACAACACTGAAGTGCACATCAAGCGATGCGAGACGCTCAACAAGTTTTGAGCCTCGCTTAAGGACTTGAGTGCGGTTTTTATACACTGATCCCTGCTGACTCCAATTGGTGGTATGAAATAAGAGGTGTGACATTTAAAAGGAAAAACCATGCCTTCGTATAAAAAAAAAATCCCGTTCTTATAAGCATCGAAAATCATATTTTTTCTTTTGAGAGAACATTTTCAAACAATTCAAAATAATCAAACATGGGAAAAACGATTTCATCAAGGAATCTATAAAAAATGATTTCATAGAGGAAACCATTTTCTCTAAAAAAAAAAAAAAGTTTGCGATGCCAAACACTCCCTATATGGGTATTCTCAAAATGGAAAAGGGCCAAAATTACCCCTACCGTATAAGAATGGTTCACAAAATACCCTCCATTCACCTGTTGGTCTGAAAATAGCCCTAACCTATTTTTTGGCTCTAGATTACCCCTCAAATTAACACCCTAAATCTTATGGCTTTTTGCAATTTAAGATTTCCACATGGCCTATTATAATTCGCCACATATATTATTTATAATTTAAAACTGAACCCACGCATTTCATAAATCCAAACCACCCCTAATAATCTAATTCGTTTCTTTAAATCTTTAAACCCACGGCTCATTCTCATTTTAGAGACCGGATAAGATAATCTTATGACTTTTTGGCTTCTCTTCTCGTATGGGAAATGGTTCACAAATACCCTTCATCCACATATTGGTCTAAAAGTACCCCTAAAAGTTTTTTGGATAAGAAAACAAAGACAAGGCACAGAGAGTTGAAGGCACAGGGAAATAGCTATTAAATGATGACTTTGGTTTACTAGAGACTACTTGAACCTCCACGCTCTTTAGTATAAGATTTGAGTCTCACATGTCTACCATTTTACCACCAGGGAATCTTGAAAGTGAATTGTACTCCATTAATTTATTTTTGTATTATCACGAGTTCAAACTTGAAAGAACTTTCAATTTTTAAGTGAAACTACTTGAGTTAACTTTTAGCAAGTTGTCTATAACTAGTGTAAATAGTCAATTATCTATTACTGCAAAAGGATGGTGTAATGGAACTTGAAGGGTAAGTCACTTAATTTATTGCAATATAAGCATTATTGAGGTAATAATAATTTGGTGCACCGAAGGAAAATACCTTCTTATATTTTTTTCCTATTCAATAAACATTATATAATTGAAGTCTAGTAAACTGTCATCCTGGTTAAACAGTTCACGTATTAATATCCATCCAAAGGCCTCTATGTTTTCCTTTTCCATGTCCTTCCATATCCTTGGAAAACATTACAGTACTAGGAAATACATCTATTTAACTTAAATATGCTGCAAAATGCTCTGTTATTAATTGCAAATAACAGAAACTGAAGAATTTGCATCTTTTATTCTTGGCAATATCTTCAATTTTCTCAAGAAAGGGTTATTCTTGTGAACTTACACTGCCTGTAGACATCCAGAAAGGACATGCATTTAACATCCAATTGTATATGCAGCAAGTCAGGTACATCCCAAAAATTGGTACCCTATCCCCCTCATATTTTGTCGTCCATGGGGCAAGCTGCCAGAAAATGTACCTTGTCATCCTAAGCTAGCAGACTTTGCCAACTGTATGAAGAAAAAAGGCAGGGGAATGTCCATCTTTATTTCTATTATAGATGGAGATTACCATGAACGTGTTGAGGACGCCAAGGCAGCTTGTAAGCAGCTAAGTACGTATATTGACTACAAGCAATGTGAAGGTGTAGCAGAAATAGTTGTTGCTCCCAACATGTCAGAAGGCTTTAGAGGCATTGTTCAGACTATGGGGCTTGGGAATCTCAAGCCAAACATTATTGTTATGCGGTACCCTGAGATATGGCGGCGTGAAAATTTGATTGAAATTCCTGCTACCTTTGTTGGCATAATAAATGACTGCATTGTTGCAAACAAGGCAGTAGTTATTGTGAAGGGTCTAGATGAATGGCCTAATGAGTATCAAAGACAGTATGGAACCATTGATTTGTACTGGATAGTCAGAGATGGTGGTCTTATGCTGTTGCTATCTCAACTTCTTCTCACAAAAGATAGCTTTGAGGGCTGTAAGATCCAGGTTTTCTGCATTGCTGAGGAAGATTCTGATGCAGAGGGACTCAAGGCTGATGTAAAGAAATTTCTTTATGACCTTCGGATGCAAGCTGAGGTAATTGTCATTTCCATGAAGTCATGGGAAGGCCAAGGGGAGCAGCAAGAATATATTGAAGCATTCAGTGCTGCTCAGGGAAGAATAGCTAGTTATCTGGGAGAGATGAAAGAGAGAGCGGAGAGGGATAAGACTCCTTTGATGGCTGATGGAAAGCCAGTGGTTGTCAATGAGCAGCAAGTTGAGAAATTCCTGTATACCACTTTGAAGCTGAATTCAACGATTCTAAAATACTCGAGAATGGCTGCAGTTGTGTTTGTAAGTCTTCCTCCTCCTCCTGCCAATCATCCAGCATTTTTCTACATGGAATACATGGACCTATTGGTTGAAAATGTACCCAGGCTCTTGATAGTTCGTGGATATCGTCGAGATGTTGTCACTCTGTTTACGTAGGTAGTTCTGTTCATACGCTTCCTTTTTCTCTTCTTTTACCTCCTTTGCTTTATCTTAATAGTTTCAATTCAATTCAATTTGTTACTTTTGTTGTTTTTCTCTTTTCTACTGGAGGTGGGTGTACAATATACTAGTTTTTGTATCATTAATTCTTTTGAACTGAATATTTGGGGAAAGAAAATTTTGTTATTGATGAATCTCTAGGTGATTATTAATTAGTCTTTTAAGAAAACGTTGAAATAGAAAATTTCGTTATTGATGAATGTCAAGTTGGCTTTATCAAAAAAACGAATGTCAAGTTGGTTAAAGTACACTTTGTTCTATGAATCACTCTCAAATAGTGTATAATCATTTCTCTAATTGTTACCTTTGCGTCAAATCTTTTTGCTTGCTTCCTTTTGTTGCACGATGCCCAAAAAAAATTGATCAACGTTGTTCAATTGATTTTCTTTGAATTTTTTTTTACACTCTACTTAATATAAAGAGAGAATCTGCAGCCTTTTGTGACCAAATTGAATGTCATTGTGATATGCTACTTTTATGAGTCTCTGGTTTCTCGTGTGTCCGTATCGTGTATCTTATGACAATTACAAATTTTGCGTTTGTTTAAAAAAATAAACTGTCGATATTTTAAGACTCTCTGTCTGAAATGTAAAAATAAAAATAAAAATAAAAAGGTCAAAAACTTCCGTTAATCATTTGAAGTTAGGATATAATGTTCTCCAAGTTCAATATTGGAATTTATAATACCAATCTTCAACACTAAAAATACAATTTTAAAGAAAATTAAAGTATGGTAAAACCTATGTAAACTAATATTGTCGGAATTATGAAATATTATTATTTTCTTGAGTTATTGTATAATCAATAAATTAATACTTATAATTTAAAGAGTGTTTTGTACGGGGGATTAAGCCTTGAGCTTTTTATGGGTGTCGGTGCAGATCGCCTATTGGTTGGTTTGAAGTAGGTGAAACTCAAATATTAGGACCAAATCTTGTTCACCAAGATGTTTTAAAAGTAAAGTTGATACAAGAGAGACTGAAGACTGCTTAGAGTCTACAAGTCTACAAAAATCATATGCAAACGTATGTCGTAGAGACCGAATTTCAGGTTGATGACTGAGTATTCTTAAAGGTATCACCTATAAAAGGCGTTATGAGATTTTGGAGGAAAGGTAAGTTGAGCCTCAAATATGTTGGGTCATACAAAGTTATACGTAGAATTTGCCAGGTAGCTTATGAGATGGACTTGCCTCGAAAGTTAGTTGCAGTACATTTGGTCTTCCATGTGTGGATAATACGCAAATGCTTGAAAGATCCTACACAGGTTATTCCCATAGAAGGTATGGAACTCTCAAAAGATTTATCATATGAGGAACTCCTAGTGACAATATTAGATCGATAGTCAGAAACTTGAGGACCAAAGATGTAGTATCAATCAAGGTACTTTGGAAGTGTTAGAATGTATAAGAAGCCACTTGGGAAGCAGAGGCTAACATGAGGGTCAAGTATCCCCACTTATTTCAGTAGTCGCCCAAAGGTTCTTAAAGTCATAACTCATTTCATTTGAGTATCAGTTTTATCCGTATTTTGTAGTACTGCTTTATTATATGTTATATGTTTAGGTAATTGATACAGACACCATATATTCCTTAGATTGAGATGTCCACAATATCAAATATCTTATATTAGTTAGTGTAGTTTCCATTCGTATAAGGCCAAGCTGAGCCTTGTGGATATTCATTGCATATTGTTGTGTTGTGATGCTCTTTGAAGCAATGTATATGTATTTTGGTTAGCTGACAGGTTTTGGATAGGCCTATATATAAATGAAACTCTGTCAATTTTTATTTTTTTTAAAAAGAATCATCTTAAAGTGCAGCCTTCAATCGAGGACAAATGATCTAAAGGGGGATAATGTAATAGCCAGTAACTTAAAATACATTAGCGACTCGTAAACGCCAATGCATAAGTGTGGTATCGGGGGAATATATCGTTTAAAATGGTTAAGCCTACCATGTAACCCTTATATTTAGTCATTTGAAGGGTTAAACAAAAGTTTTAGGCCAAAGAGATTATTTAAGAAAAGATTCAAGTTTAAAAGTTCATTATGGAGGAATACTACAAATGATCTCATTTATCAACTGAATTTGAACGAGCATACTTCCTAATATAAGGAGTTAGTGGACCTACAACCTATCAAATGAAAGGTATTTGAGTTTAGTTTCCATCAAATAAACCGCTTGTTAATACGACTTTAGAGTAAAAAGTTATTTACATTCTATGATAGACACACGCACTGACCAATCACTGCGGGACACGTGACACTTCAAAGAAAGTCAGTCAAACTTGTTTTTATATTAGAAGTTTGGAATTTCTTTTTTTATATACTCCAAAACGTGTAAGGACTGATTTTAAGTTATTTCTTCAAGTCTTGCTCATCTCCAATCCTCCCAAATTTAAGGTAAGTTGATTTCTTCAAGAATCAAGTGTATTTCTCTCCATAAACCTATAGATATACTTAGCCAAGTGTTTTCTTGAAGGGAAAAAGTGTTGTTCTTGAAGAATAGAAAGGACATGGATTGATTTTCTTCGACATAGAGGTATGAGTCCTCTTCTATCTCCATAAATAGTATTATAAGGATGCTTTAAGTATAATTTACGGGTAGGACTCACGCAACGGTGATAGAAAATCGTGAGTCCATATTTTACCCATTATAGATGATGTTCTTAGTAAGGAGGGAGCTTGTAGAAGGATGTGTTGGCTGTTGTTTTAACCAAATGAGGGGTGGATGATATTGTATTGGGGTAGTAAGCTGGTTACGATAAAACGGAAGGCTAGGTACAGAAAACGCGACTCTTATAGTACTTGAAAGTTTGTCGCTCGCCAAATGTTTGATGAAATACTTAAATTGCTTAAGAATATGTTGTAGTTGTTTATATGAGCTCCAATTATTGTAATTGATGGCAATAGTTCTCTACCATCTTAAATTATGAGCTTATAAGGGAATTTGATGTTGTTGACAAAAAAATCATGGGATGGTGTTTAGAAGCCATGAGTTTGACTTTATATGTTAATTTTGGATGATTAAGGGGTTGGTTCTTTATGGTTAACGGATTGAAGAATAATATTGAACGCGTAAATAATTCATGATCCCACTTGAAAAGTAGATAAAGAGAATGGTGTGGTGATACTCTATCTATCTATCGTAATTGTTAAGCTTGTCGCTCGTGAACTATTGGGGTGTTTTAGCTTGTTGTGCTCTTTGATTAGCTTCTTATAGTACATTTTTATGGTGTTATGTTATAGATAAAGTTGTCAGCAAAGGAGTTTGACGACGCGACATAAGGTAGTAAGTCCTGAATTAAGGTATGTAAAGTTAAAACCTATTTTGCCATTATGGCACGACTGGAAGTTGCATGTTCTTCCGATAAATGTCGTCAGAGATTATATGATACTTAAAAGCAAGTTATTCTATTTTATAAACCCTCTCATGTTGGATTCCTAAACCTATAAAGTTATAGTACTCTTTTCTGGTCAAGAAAGTCATATGTTTCACATAACTATGTGTGCCTTTAGTTGAAATTCTTAGAAGTTAGCGGGTATATATGTTGCATAAATTTAAAAAAAGCGGTTAGCTACGGACTATTTTTAGGTGTAGGTCACAAGATATATATATATATATATATATGATTCTTAAGCTAAAGAAAGTAACCACAAATTGTATTACAAGTTGTATGATTTATAAGTTAATTATTATAAGTCTTTGCATGCAATTGAGATTATAAAATACTCTACAGCGTGGAGTGGCTATTTTTAGGGCTACTACGTGCAACACTATTCTGTGCACAGAATTCAGATAGAGTTAGTTGGAATTTCCCGTCGTGAACTTCCTTGGCTGACACAGGCCTGCGGGTAAACAATACGGGAGCCCTGGGACGTACCTTGATAGACCTCAAACTATAAGATTTTAGGCGCGGTCGTGACATTGAGCTACATATGCCATACAAGGTTCACTGATCGCCGACAGTAGGTCATCATGTGACTCCCTGACAGTTCGTTTTACAAAGAGCAAAGAAGTTATATAACGAAGTAAGGATATCACTTAGGCAAATTATAGGAATTTTATGTATATAATTAATGAGCCATGGAATGTTGGATGAGGACCCTTTAGATTGGTCATAATTCTAGTTTTGGATTATGTTTCGTGCATACATATGCTCAGATTTACCTATCCTGATATTTAATTTATTTGAGCATTCTTACATGTCTACTTGTTATTCAGTCTGCTTTACTACCAGTACATGTTTTATATGTACTGATGTCTCTATTTTTGTGGCGCCGCATTTCTACCAATATAGGCTCAGGTACTTAGGAGAACAAACATTTTCTAGTAGACCAGAGACTTCCAATTTAGCAGTTGGTAAGCTTCATCCCTACTTGGAGTTATCAGATATTTAGAACCTTTATTTTACTGTGTATGTACATATGTCAGATTCCTATCTCGACTAGTTAAGTTTGCATCGCTAAAAATTCACAATTAGTCATACAAAATTTCATTAAGCAATTTTCTCTATTGGGTTAAGCGCAAGATATATACATGCGGGTCTATATAATAATTCAGAGAAAATTAAAAGTGAGAAAGTTCGAGAAAACAAAAAGGTTTCAAAATAGAATTAATTACTTTCAATGAATTCTTAACTTTCACTAAAGATTTTTATATACGTTCTTCTATAGATATGCAAATATAGAATTTTATTTGCATTTTATTCTGCAAATAGGTCGATGGGGAAAATAAAACTCCCCACCTTAAAATAGAAATAATCTTTATTCTTTTGTCAACAAAAAAGTTATTATTTTAAATAGATGATTTCCTAATTCTATTATTTTATTTATCAATCAGAAAAGCGAATAGTTATCATATTCTCAAATACATTCTCTTTATAGGCTTCTTAGACTTAATTTTATTTCCGTTGTAAAGTAGTCTAGTGGGACCTTTTTTATCTATGTTTTAGTATGTGTCTTGATATATATTCCGTTGCTTATGAGCCGACAACTTTGAGATGATTTTAGTACAGATAATTAGTTGGTGCTTGTATAAATCCTCAATGTTCGCTCCATTCTAGTTGGGGTGTGACAAGTAAAAACAACATTCATGAACTCGGGATCATGCTTAATAATCTAAGTTATTGCAATAAAATGGATGTCAATTGACTTTTCAGTTACATGTATGAATATGATACATGTTTAGAGGTTCAGA